CCTGTTGTGTAACACAGTTAAGACTATAGGCATGTTAGAAAACTGTTTCTTCTTCTTGCTCCTATTTGTAAATTGGGTGTGATTTATCATGCAGAGGAAAATATTTTAACAGAGGATTTTGCTAGTGTCAAAGGAAAATTACCAGTGATTAAAATAATGAACACAAACAGTAATTCCATAATTTTCTAATAATATTCAAACTTATTTCTCACACTAGCCTAATCCTGAAAAACAAAAACAACTTCTTGACTGGACCTCAGCGATCAAATTTGAAGCTAGAGGTTATAGGGTTTCAGTTTTATCAACCAGAATTTCATAAGTACTACGATGAGGCTGTACTTTACTGTGTGGATGTTCTGGAATGTAGACATAGGTGTACTATTACTGCAGCTGGAGGCATTTTCAAAATGTGGAGCAGCCAGTAATGTGGGGCATTCTTGAAAATTATTGGTTGTCTGCTTTTTCTGTTGCCCTGACACACTATAAAAACAATTACTTAATAATTGGAATAAACTTTTTTGACCAAGAAACAGATTGTAAACTCTTTTGTTAAAAGCAAATTCATTTCTCAGAGCATGAAATGGTGATTGACCAAATAAAAAAAAAGGAAACAACACAAGTAACAATGGTAAACTCGCAAGCATAAAGTTGTCCGAGCGCCTGCTGCCAAGCCAAACAAACCAAACCTCTGGCTCATGCTCAGCGGTACCACTCTCTTCGATGCCGCTGCAGGGAAGTCGGACTCACCTGAGCGGCATCCACGATCACGTCTCGCCGGCTTAAAAATCTGCAATGGGTCCTGGGTTATTGTTGTTGTTGGAGTGTTCAGCTGCAGCCGTGTGTGTAGTAATAAAAAGTGCTGGACGAGTCTGCTGTGGTATGTTTACAGAGGCCAACTGGGAAATTAATATTTTCAACACACAATTTATTTTGTCATAATAATTCGTCATCATCATAGCCAATATAACCAGAACACTTTATATTATGCAGACTGTCTATGACTGTTGTAGGTGGTGAGCACTGTCAGTAAGCTAAAACAGATTTAAACCCATTGGAGAAACTTCTTAGGCGTTCCCCCAGGGCCCTGGAGGTGTAAGAGTCACATCAGCAGGGGTTCAGAACGCGTGATCATCACATGGTTCATGCAGACTTCAGATAGTTCCTGGAAGTGCTTAGTTCGAACATGTGAATGTGGGGAGACAGAACTCTTTTTCCAGTAATTAGTAACTGAAAATAGTTTTAAAACCAGAATTAAGTGCATGCTGTCAAATCTTTGTATTTGTGTTCATAAGTTACATATTCATGGTTTAGTATAAACACCAAGCCTTA